AGGTGACAAGAAATGAGACAGGACCAAAGCATTTGATGGCATTTAAGGGAGGCAATGGGGGTCTCAAGTTATAGGAATGCAGAAACGGGAGTAGGCCATTCGGCCCCTTGAGCCTGCTCCTCCATTCAATAAGGTCTACGGCCTAACTCAATGTACTGCCTTGGGCTCATATCCCTGATACACTTGCTTAATAAAAATTAGTCTATCTCGGATTTAAATTTAACATAACCTCCACTGCTCTTTGCATATAGAAGTGCTTTCTAATATCATTCCTGAACAGCCTGGCCCTTATTCTTAGACTAATCCAGCTGATTCTAGAATCTTCAACCAGTGGAGTTTACCTTTATCCATCTGCCTTTCTCTGTTAATATCCTGAAGACCTCAATTAAATCAAACCTTAACATTCTAAATTCTAGAGGATAAAGGCCTAATTTGTCTAATTTCTCATCATAATGTAACTCCTGATGACCCCATATCATCCTGGTAAACCTGTGTTGAACTCCCTCCAAGGCCAAACATCCTAAGGTATAGTGCCCAGATCTGCTCACAGTGCTCAAAGTGGGATCCCACTAGGGTTTTGTATAATTGCAGGATAACATCTACATCCCTATAGTATGAGATAATATTTAATATGAGTGTCAGCATTCCATAGCTTTCTTGTCCATTTTCTTCACCTGTTTGAGGCATTTTAAAGAGCTATGCACCTGAACCCCCAAATCCTGTTGGATGTCCACTGTATTTAACTTTGTGTCTCCTAAAAAATACCCTGATGTAACGTTTTTCAGCCCAAAATACATAACCACACAATGCCACCCTGGAGGCAAGTGTTTGTCCTGGTATGGAACGCACTCAAGGGCCCAGAATTGTCATTGGATGCCTGCCCTTTAATTGCCCACTTGAGGGTCTCATGGTGGTTATGGGTCAATATATCATCCATAGACCCTTCTGCCTAATCTGTCATGTCATCTGACCTATACTCCTGGGAAGCACTTCCAGACCATGTTAAAATGTTAAAGGTGCTGTAGGAACGCACCTGAAGTTGGAAACGTTAAAATGCTGCTGTGTGTCCCACAGCCTTCTCTCCTAAGTATCGACGAGTATCCCCTGAACTTGACAACTCTGCTCACTGATCCACATCTTCAATATGCTCTGTACCTGTATTCAAACTATCTCCTTCACGTCTTCGTCTCTGAGCTGCAGAGCATACCTGGTTACAGAGACTGTGGGGCATGAGTACTGTATTTTTCTAAACTTTCTGCTAGGACGTGTGCATCACTGACAAGGTTTCTGTTTATTGTCTGTCCCCACACTTGATACAATACAGTGGCTTATTATTTCATCTCAAAGATCAGTTGGAAGTCAAGCTTGCTTGGGACTGGAGTCACGTACAGGCCCAAACTGGGTAAGGACGGTAATATCTACCGTTAAATGACATTAGTGAATCAATTCAAGTTTTGCGATAATCTCAAACAAGTTTATAGACACTTCTCTGGACAGTTGTTCTGTGGAATTTGAACTCCCTGGTTCATTGATACAACCATAACCCTACTGCAAGCCATTATTTATTTATCTATGCTTGCAGAATCTCAATGAGGTCTCCCTTCACATTTCTTTGTCAAGCCCTTTTGTTCGAGAATGAACAAGGCTTTCCTTCAGTCAGGATGAATGTTGCCATGGCAGCATGTAAACACAGTTGGGTCATGTTTGTAACTAAAGCGACCGCAAAGTAAAAGCTGCACGAAGGAGGTACTTCTTTAAATCGTGTATTACCAATTCAGAGAGTCACTTGGAAAAGATGCAACAAAGGCTAAATATAAAAAGGCAGCCTTTGCTCTTTTCCAAGTGCTGTCTTTTCCCAGTGTTCTTCTACTTTTTAATTCAGCAACGTTATTGCACTTTGCAGCTTGTTTTTGAGGCTTTGCTCAGTGAGTAACCTGTGGTCTTACCTTTCACGTTCTGCTGCCAGTTCGCAATGTTCTGAGCCTCTCATGGCAACACCAGCGACAACTTCCCATGTTTAATAAATAAACAAAGAAAGCCTTGCAGTTACAAAGCACCTTTCATAACTTTGAACCCTCCCGAAGGGCTTTACAGTCAATTAAATGCTTTTGGAAGTATGTCACTGTCGTAAAATAGGAAAAATGGCAGCAAGCTTCTACAAACAGCAATGTTACAATGGTCAGATAATTTTGCCAGTGGAGGGATGAACAATGGGTATAACTCAAGGGGGATCTCCCTGATTTTGTTAGGATTGGTGGCATCCAATTTTTTACTTCCCCTCCATAATAGTTGGGACAAGTGCTCTCCCTGCACTGCTTTGGGAGAGTCATAGAATAGTAGAGTCATACAGCACAGAAACAGACCCTTTGGTCCAATTCGTCCATGCTGACCAGATATCCTAGATAAATCTAGTCCCATTTGCCAGCATTTGGGTCATATACCCATTCAGACGCCTTTTAAATGTTGTAATTGTACCAGCCTCCACCACTTCCTCTGGCAGCTCATCCCATTGAGGCACCACCCTCTGTGTGAAAAGGTTATCCCTTGGTTCCCTTTTAAGTCTTTCCCCTCTCATCTTAAACCTATGCCCCTCTAGTTTTGGACTGCCCTTCCCTGGGGAAAAGACCTTGGCTATTCACCCTATCTGTGCCCCTCAGATTTTATAAACCTCTATAACCTCAGCCTCTGACGCTCCAGGGGAAAAGGCTCCAGTCTATTCAGCCTCTCCCTGTAGCTCAAACCCTCCAAATCTGGCAACATCCTGTAAATCTTTTCTGAACTCTTTCAAGTTTCAAAACATCCTTCCTATAGCAGGGAGACCAGAACTGAACACAGTATTCCAAAAGTGGCCTAACCAATGTCCTGTACATGTGCAACATAACCTCCCAACTCCTGTACTCAATGCACTGATCAATAAAGGCAAGCGTACCAAATGCTTTCTTCACTATCCTATCTACCTGCGACACCACTTTCAAGGAGCTATGAAGCTGCACTCCAAGGTCTCTTTGTTCAGCAGCACTCCCCAGGACTTTATCATTAAGTGTATAAGTCCCACCTTGATTTGCCTTTCCAAAATGCAACGCCTCACATTTATCTCAATTAACATCCATCTGCCACTCCTTGACCTATGGGCCCATCTGAACAAGATGCTGTTGAACTAAGGTAACCTTCTTGGCTGTCCACTACAGCCAATTTTGGTGCCATCTGCAAACTTACTAACCATATTCACATCTGAATCATTTCTATAAATGATAAAAAGCAGTGGACTCAGCACTGATCCTTGTGACACACCACTGGTCACAGGCCTCTAGTCTGAAAAGCAATCCTCCACCACCACCACCCTCTGTCGCCTACCTTTGAGCCAGTTCTGTATCCAAATTGCTAACTCTCCCTGTATACCATGTGATCTAACCTTGCTAACCAGTCTACCATGAGGAACCTTGTCAAATGCCTTACTGAAGTCCATATAGATTATGCCCACCGCTCTGCCTTCTTCAATTCTCTTCGTTACTTCTTCAAAAAAACTCAATCAAGTTAGTGAGACACAATTTCCCACACACACAACCATGTTGACTATCCCTAATCAGTCCTTGCCTTTCCAAGTACAAGTAAATCCTGTTCCTCAGAATTCCCTCCATCAACTTGCCCACCATTGATGTCAGGCTCACTGGCCTATAGTTCCCTGGCTTTTCCTTACCACCTATCTCAAACAGTGGCACCACATTAGCCAACCTCCAGTCTTCCGGCACCTCACCTGTGGCTTTTGATGATACAAACATCTGAACAAGGGGCTTAGCAATCATTTTCTAGCTTCCCAAAAAGTTCGAGGGTACACCTGATCAGGTCCCGGAGATTTATCCACCTTTATCAGTCTTGATTCTATGCTCAAGTCTCCAAACTCGGATTGAAATCCACAACTTTGTGACCCTGAGTTGAAAGTACTGCTCAAAGAGGCACAATGGACCAGGCTGGTTTTCAGCAAGTTGAAACTTAACATTTTTAAGATTGAAATTGAGGTTTCCTTGGGTCGTTTACTTGCTGTGAGCTGCACAAAATCTGTTCACCAGGACCCGGGAACAGCTCATGACAGGTTTGTTTCTCATCCTCTTCAGTTACAATAGTCTCAGATTTCAGACAGGCGAAGATGCAGCAGTGATGTCACTGGACTATCAATCCCGAATTCCAGGTTAACATGCTAGGGACTTGGGTTTGGATCCCATCGTGGCTGATGGTGAAATTTCAACTCAGCATAAAGCTAGTGTATAGCAACTGTTGACAGTTGTAAAAAGTCAACCTGCTTCCCTAATGTTGTTCAGGGAAGGGAGTCTGACTTACATGTGACTCCAGACCCACAGCAATGTGTTTGATGATGGCATCCAACCTCTTCACCACGAATGCTCAGTAGCAGCAATGTGCACTATCTGCAAGATGCGTTACAGAAATTCACCAAAGAACCCTACACAGCACCTTCTGACCCCACGACCACTTCCATCTAGAAGAACAAGAACAGCAGATACATGGGAATACCACCACCTTCAAGTTCCCCTCGAAGCCACTCACTATCCTGACTTGTAAACATATTGCCATTCCTTCACTGGGCTAGGTCAAAATCCTGGAATTCCCTCCCCAATGGCATCATGGATCAACCCACAACAAGGACTGCAGCGGTTCAAGAAGGCAGCTCACCACCACCTACTCAAGGGGCAACTAGGGACAGGCAATAAATGCTGGGCCCAGCCAGTGACGTCCATGTCCAACAAATGAATTTAACAATGTTGGGCCTGGCCAATGATGCCCACATCTTTTGAACAAATTTTAAGATTCAACGTGTTATGTTCCTTACATTGTGAACTTCTGTCGATTAGGTAATTTGTGGATTAAGCAATTTGTTAAGCAACAAATTAAGCAATGCTTGTATTCTACAGCACCACAATAATTCAAAGAAAAATGAAGACACAATTTTTTATAATCAATATCAAAACATCACAAACAGGAAGAAGTAAAACATGAAATAGTTTTTCTTTAATTGCATTTGTTTTTTAAGTATGCAGTTTTCAAAATATTCTGCAACATTTTACACAGTAGTTTAGATTTCTGACTGTCAGTTATCATTTTCTAGATTTGTTGAACAATTAATGTCAGTTTTGTTGCTGTGTTCCAATAACATGTAATTCTTTCTACGAGTGACACAGGAGTGAGGGTCCCTGGGAGAGTGACACAGAAAAAATGAAGGATAGCATAAAGCAGGCTCTGCTGGTCTCATCAATAAAATTCACCAGAAAAAGAAAGTGGTCTTACCTAACTGACTATGCGCTGTTTCAAATGCAAATTTTCAATCTTTATTTTTCCACGAGTTACGAATGAACTGAAGTTACTACATCTGTACATTTGCCCAGTTTTAGTTGGACCCAATATTTATCACTGCACTTCCTCCAAAAGGGGTGAACCATGTCAGGGTGGCCTCCAGTGGACATTTTCCACAAATCTGCTGAGATTTGGGCTGATAAATTGAAGACATCACAGCTGAGTCCCAACACACACACACACACACACACACACTTTGAAAGTGCTGGGGCTGAGGATGGGGAAAGAGCAGAGATCAAATTCTAGAGTTATTGTTGACTCTTCTTCAAAGAGGATTGAGCTCGAAGCATCAACTCTGTTTCGCTGTCCACTAAATCTGCTAAATTTCTCTAGCACTTTCACCTTTTATTTTCACCTTTTATTTTGTTTTTGTTGTAGTCAAATTCTAGATCTCCCTTGTGCTGGTGCATGATCTTAGGCACTGGTTCATCAAGAAAGTTTGTAATCCATATTTTGTTCCCAAATGCAAATAGATGCTTAAAGGAAACTCTCAAAACATGGTTCTGAGTAAAATGAAAATGGGGTGTGAAAGCCAGCAGAAGCATGCTGGGATAAATGGCCACATTTTGAGCAATAAGGGTGGGATGGGAAATGGGAGATCGCTAAACTGGGCCCAAAATGGATGGATTTAGCTTGGCAGAAAGGAAGTGAAATGATACGTTGTCAGTTTCAGAGTGGATAAGCCAATTGATGACAATCCTGGGAGCAGAACTATGGTTTCCCAGAACAAGGTCTTACAGCTTTTGTTCTCTGCTGTGGCGGCCCAGATCCGATTGAGGGGGAGGTGGTAAAGTCTGCGGCTTCGTGAGACAGCACGGAGGCTACTCTCCCTCAATAAATGACGGATGGTCTCCCAAATACATCAATAAAATGGATCAAGCATTAAGCGACCCTCTGATAGGGTGCCAGGTTACCTAATCAAAATCGCATGCCTCTCCCCTCATGGGTCCTTGGTGCTGCAGCTCCCGCAGGACATTTGGTAGAGGCTGATTACCGACGAAACGGTCCCCATTAGTCCCACCAGCCACTCGGGAAACTTTCCTGCCCACAAGAATCCTGGTGGCATCCAGTGGATGGCATTTGTCAGGTCAGCCAGGCAGGTGATGATGTTGAGAATTTCTGCTCGCATCCGTGTCTGATATGCCTGTCTACTCACACAGTTTGCTTCACTAGAGGGTGACATTTTAAAAACAGACACACATTAAGGCAAATCTTGCTGTAATAGGCAAGCACATAGAATTCCCTGCATTGAAACAGACCTTCGGCCCAAAGGCTCCATGCTGGCTCTATGTAGACCTCTTCCCAGCTGGCTCCTCCGCTAACCCCATCAGCCTATCATTCTGTTCCTTTCTCCCACATGGTTTTACCAAGCTTCCCACTAAATATTATTCTCATCAAGTACTCCATGTGATCGGTTCACATTCTCACCACCGTCTGGAAAACAGATTTCTCATCAACATGTCATTGAATGTATTCACAACTATCCGGTTTTTAAGGTGCGAGGAGAGAGCTTTTAAAAAGATATGAGGGGCACATTTTTCACACAGAGGGTGGTTCACATGTGGAATGAACTTCCTGAAGAAGAGGTGGATGTGGATACAATTACAACGTTTTAAAGACATTTGGATAAGTACATGAATAGGAAATGTTTGGAGGGATATTGGCCAGGAGCAGGCAGGTGGGACTAGTTTAGTTTGGGATTATGTTCAGCATAGACCGGTTGGACCGAAGGGTCTGTTTCCATGTTGTGTGACTCTGTGACTATCTTAAGGCTTTGCTGCATTTAAGATGAAATAAGGCGTCAGCCACGCAGGTCTGAGATGAGGAGAAATTTCTTCATTGAAAGGGTTATAAATTATTTGAATGCTCTATTCCAGAGAGTTATGGATGTTCAGTTGTAGAGTACATTTCAGCTAGAGGTTGGCAGATTTTTTTGGATTCGAAGGGAATTGAGGCACAAACAACTGGAGCAGGAAGGCGGTATTGAGGTAGAAAACTCAGATCTTATTCATTTGATATGATTTATTATTGTCACATGTACTTGAGTACAGTGAAAAGTTTTGTTTTGTGTGCAGTACAGGCAGATCATACCATACAAAGGTGATTGAACAGAGTGAGGAATACAAAGTTACGGCTGCAAAGAAGGTGCATGAACAGCAAGATCAACATTAGATCTGAAATTTGAAAGGTCCATTCAGCAGTCTAATAACAGCGGGGAAGAAGCTGTTCTTGAACCTGTGTTTAAGCTTTTGTAACTTCTGCCCGATGTAAGAGGTTGGAGGAGATTATAACTGGGGTGGGAGGGGTCTTTAATGATGGAATAGTGGAGCAGGGACCAATGGCCACCTTATATTTTTAGATCGTAACAAAATCTCTGCCCAAGTGTGCGCTAGGACCCCCAGCCCGCCTGGGGGCGGGAATTGCAGCATTCTTAAAGAGTGGATGGACTGTGTACATCTTCCCAGCAACCAAGACACTAGGCTCCCACTTGTTGCCCAAACCACAGAACACAGCAGCAATGTGTACTAGTGTCTGTCAATACAGCTTTGCCTCAGCATAGCCCAGCATGTTTTTACAATGCCTGGTTCACAGTGCCTCTGGGTTCCATGAACTGGAACAGCAGGAACGTACTGAGAGTAGCTGCAGGCATACATACAGATTGGTACTAATCAAATTCTATGTGGAGCATCATGGCAGGGTGACATGGCATGGCAGGGTGACATGGCATGTTAGACTGGTGTTCCCAAGTTTCCAAATTGGCACCAGAAGGAATTGTTAATCATATTTAAGATACTTCCTTGCTGCGAGAGATGGACAAAAAAGAATTGTGCTTGTGCGTTTAATGACAATTATGAAAATCTCTTCTGATTGTTAAATTATCCCTTTTATTTCTCCCTTCCCTGATTAAAATTTAACAATCTGGGCATACAACTCTCTGCCTCAAGACCCTGGAAAGGTTACAAGAATAATTTGGTGTTGGATGATTCTTCTTCCATGTTTTCACCTCGTACCTCTCTATTCCCAATCCATCCATTTGCCTTTCTCATAACACAATTCTGGTCATTGATCTTCCCTCTGATGTTTGTTTTTGAGGCCTCAACCATCCCACGTTCCTGCAACCCCACCTTGCCACCTCTTCCTTCCCTCTGTCAATACTCTATTGAAGTTAAGAAATACTGCACCATTTCCTACTTTGACTCAGGGGTTAGAAATTCCCCACTCCCCTCATATATTCTCTTCCTTCTATTACTCACAGGCTTTTTAAAGAAAAGCAGCCCCACACCTAAACATGCTCTGTCTGACAACCTTGTCTTACAGAATATGATTGAATTCAGTCATCAATTCTACCCATCCATGATGTTGTCACCCACCTTCTATGCAGGTCACTTCTTTTAACTCTGTAAAGTCCAATAAAAGAAATTCAAATTTCTAGTTTATACAGGAGTTATGACATGGCAAGGTTTCAGATTAAAGATATTTATTGTAACAAAAGACTAAAAGCACTATTGACTAAACACTATTTTTTGTCGGCAAAGTGTACTTTAACGTCAAAACAGAACTTTCTCCTTTTCCTTTGACGACAACTGAAAACATGCTCCATGTACACTACATTGTCCTTTAAATATACCTTTAGTTATTCCAGAACCAACCTAAGATTATTTTTGGGGGGCCAATGGCGTTTTTCTTATATATTTCCTTTCTCATTTTGGCAACTTGTAATTTGAGAACTGTCTTTCAGATTGAGGGTTTTTAGCCCAGTGATTCCTCCTTTAGTGCACGCTGAGTGAATCTTTCACCCTTGCTTTATCTCCCCATGAATTTGGTCCTTTCAATCCACCTATATTTCTGTATGGTGAACCACTGCATCCTGCTGCTCACTGCCGTTCTCCCTCTCCCAGATCCTGGCAGGCTATCTTGTCTCTGAGTTCCATGGATATCATACAAACCTTTCCCTCTCAGAGCCCTTCTCCATGGCAATGTGAATCACATGGGCACTGTATCCAGGTAGAAATGTTGACTAGCTAACCTTGTGACTTCATCTCTTTTATCCTGGAAGTTAATGGACAATTTAAGGCACAACTGTTTACAATCTGACATTCTCAGCACTCTGTGGAACTTTGGAAACTCTCAGACAAAAATAGAAATTGCTGGAAAAGCTCAGCAGCTCTGGCAGCATCTGTGGAGAGAAAGCAGAGTTAAAGTTTTGGGTCGAGTGACCCGTCCACAGTTCTCAGCTGTTCCAGCAATTTCTATTTTTGTCTCTGATTTACAGCATCCATGTTTGTATTGGTTTTTATTTGGAGACTCACAGTCTATCCACTGTTGGCATACAGGCTGCTGTCATTATCTCCAAACATAAACACCTTGAACCATTTTCCTGAGTACCCTGTAATCTCAAAAAATCAAATCACCGAGGCTTGCTGTCAGGCAGACTTTAGTACAGGTCTCACAAATCCTATTGTTCTGTTTTCATTAAAGATGCAATCCCAAAACATAAGAAGCTTATAAACCACAGAATTGAAACACTGCATATCTTTTGATACTTTGTAGTCAACCTGCTCAGAGATATTATTACACATCAAAGTAGGTGGGACTTGAACCCAGGCCTCCTGACTCTGAGGTAGGGAGACTACCACTGCACCACATCCCCGGAAACAGAATATTTTCTGCAGCCACCCTTGCAATTACCTCTGTAAAGTGACTGTGAGAGATATGTCTAATCAACCTGTTCAGAGATGTTATTGTACACCTCTTGCTGAGGTGGGACTTGAACCTGGGTAGCCTGGCTCAGAGACAGGGACAAGACTTTGCCACAAGAGTCATTGCAAACTCTGTATTTACACACAGTACAGTTTGTATCCTTAGATATTTTCCAATCAACCTGTTTGATGAAGTTATGGAACAGGTGGGACTTGAACATGGGTCTTCTGTTTCAGAGCCATGGGCACTACCACTGCACTACAAACAGCATTTCACTTTGCATCCTTATTCCTTTTCTCTATATCCAGAATTTATTACAAACAATTAAAACAATTTTCCTACCACCAAGTCATCCATGGCATTTTTAATCTATTATTTGCCATCACTAAATCACCCATGTTTCCAATTAATCAAAGTAATTGCAATTTCTGGCATGGATAACACTTTGTGTCCTTATTATAGCTGTGCTAAATTGCAAGCCCTGAAATAAATAACCATGCTTAGTGGCTCTCTTGTAGTGTGATGGTAGTGTCCCTCCCCTCGACTGAGGCATCCAGGTTCAAGCCCCGCTTGCTCCAGAGGTGTGTATTAACATCTCTGAAGAGGTCGCTTCGAAAAATAGGTCAAATACAAAAAAAAATTAAAAACCACGTTTGTCACCATACCCCATTCTGAGGTGAACATTATTCTGGCTTCCCTTTAGTTTCTTCTTTAGCAGCTGCACAACTCTGAAGGATCTGTTGGCATTAAGGGGAAGAGGAAAGACAAATTATTTCAGCCTGTTTATTCATTGATTAGAGATTTTAAAACTCCCAAACAAAAATTAACAAAAAAATCCATTCCCCTCCCTCCTGACAAAGATTTCTGCTTCTTAGCTTTCAGCAAAAACAATGTATTTTTAAAAATAATTAACAGATGTGATCAACAGAGGCAAGATCCATATTTATTGCCCATCACTAACTGCACTCAAGAGGTGTGAGGTGTGCCACCATCTTAACAAATGAGGGATTTGCTCTGTCATGTCAAAAACAGTGAAACATCTAGAACCAGAGGATAGTCTCAGCATAAAAGTCAGGCCATTAGAACTGAGATGAAGTGGAACTTCCTCACTCGGAGGGTGGTGAACTTTTGGAATTGTCTACTTCTGAGAGCTGTGGAAACTCAGTCATTAAGTTCAATACAGAGACTGATAGATTTCATGTTACTCATGGCATCAATGGTTTGGGACAACATGGGAATAGGGTATTGAGACACAAGATCAACAAGATTTAGAACAGCAGAGCAGTTTTGAAGGGCTAAATGATCTGCTCCTGCTCCTATATTTAACCATATTGGGGCAGCACGGTGGCTCAGTGGTTAGCACTGCTGCCTCACAGCACCAGGGACCTGGGTTCGATTCCAGCCTCAGGCGACTGTCTGTGTGGAGTTTGCACATTCTCCCTGTGTCTGCGTGGGTTTCCTCCCACAGTTCAAAGGTGGATTAGCCATGCTAAATTGCCCATTGTGTCTCGGGTGGGAAATACAGGGATAGGGTGGGTCTGGGTTGGATGGTCTTCGGAGGGTCAGTGTGGACTTGATGGGCTGAATGGCCTGCTTCCACATTGTACGTATTCTACGATTCAATTGTTATCTTGTATTGTGTGGGTCTGGTCTCATGCGCAGGCAGACTGCATAAGGATGGCAACATTTCCTTCCCTAAAGAACATGAGTGAAGTAGATGGGGTTTCACAATTAGTTTCATGGCTAGTTTTAAAGGAGCAGGCAACCGAAGGACACTGAGATACATAAAATTAGAGCAATAAATAACTCAAAGACCGGCACAGAAAATGTAGGTTTTGGTTTGTCATGTACTGGTGTCATTAATGGGGAAAGGGGAGGCTGTACTGTTTGGATGGTCAACAACTAAATCATGCTGGGACCAGTGTTCTTGCAAACTGTGTAACTACGGGAATGGAGAGGGATTTGAACTAACGAGTGGGGGAAAGGGATCAAAATTGGAAAAATGAGGTATATTAAAGACTAGAGGAAAGGCAAGAGATGAAAATAGTAACATGGGGACTGAAGGCCAGAGTAAGGCAGGAAGGAACAGAGAGAAAAAAGCCTAGAGATAAACAAACAATTAGGACTAGATGTTACAAAGATAACAAAAAGACAGAACTAAAGGCTTTGTATTCTAATGTGCACAGCATTCACAGCAAAGTAAACAAATTGTAGCACATATTGAAATAAAAATGATCTTACAGCCATTACCGAAGGGCACAAGGGATGTGGTCCTTGTATAATCAAGGTTAACATGAGTGCAATAGTTAGAGATGACCTTGGTTCAGGCGATCAGAATGTAGAATCAGTTTGGGTGGAGAAGAGCAATAGTAGGGGAAGAAGTCACTACCACTACTACAGGGCCCCTAACAGTAATCACACTTGGGGACAAAGTGTACAGGAAGAAATATTGGACACTTGTGATAAAGGGACTCGAATAACCATGGGTGACCTAATCTACATACAAGATGGAAATATCAGATTGTCAATAGTGAGCCGAATGAGTTCATAGAACAGCCTCAAGATTGTTTCTTAGAGCAGCACACTCTTGAACTGATCAGACAGCAGGTTATATTAGACTTGATATTGTGCAATATGACAAAAATTTTAAAAACGATCTCAGAGTAAAGGCACCCCTCGGCAGCAGCAACCACAATATGATTGAATTTTACATCCAGTTTGAAAGAGTGAAGAGTGGGCCTAAGACTAGTATTTTAAACCTAAATAAGGGCAGCTATATGGTCATTAAAGCTGAGCTAGCTGAAGTTAACTGGTACAGTCGGCTAGGGGATGAATCATTCGAGGTACAGTATCAGATATTTAAGGAGATATATCAGAATAAGTATATTCCTACTATTTAAAACAAATTCTAAATGGAGGACCCACCATCTGTGGCTAACTAAGGATGTTAGGGAAAGTGTCTTAAGGATAAAGGATCTAAGTAGCAGATCAGACAATTGGTCTGATTATAAAGGAGAGCAGAGAATGAGGGAAAAAAAGGTTACTCAGAAGGAAGAAATTTAACGTAATGGGCGGAAGTTAGCTAGGAATGTGAACTAATAACAAGCTTATGTGGGTATTTAAAAAGTAAAATATGTGAGTACTGGTTCATTGGAGGGTGGGAATAGAATTAATAATAGTTAATGAGGAAATGACAGATGAAACGAATAAGTGTCTTTGCAATGAAGGATTCAAAAAACATTCTAGTAATAGCTGTAAATCAGGAAGTGGAAAGGAGAGAGAAACTTAGTGAAATTACAATCATGAGGGAAGTAGTACTAAGCAAATTGATGGAGTTCCAGGCTTCCTGGACCATTTAGACATCACCCTAGAGTATTAGAAGAGATGGTTCCTGAGCTTGTAGTAGCATCGGTATTAATTGTCTGAAACCTCTTGATTCAGGAAATGTTCCGTTTGTTTAACCAATTTATTGCAGATCTTTGAATGAGTACCATGCACTGTGAATAAAGGGGAGCCTGTAGACATATTGTATTTGAATTTCCAAAAGACACTTGATAATGTGCCAAATCAAAGTTTATTGTGGAAAATAAAAGTCATGATATTAGGGAGAACATATTGGCATGGATGAAAGATTGACAGGCTGGCAGAAAACAGAGTAGGAATATGTGGATCTTTGTCTGATTGGCACGATGTTGCAAGTGGGGTACTACAGGTGTCTGTTGGGGCCTCAGTGTTTTACAATTTACATCAATGGCTTAGCTAAAGTGAGTGAATGCATGGCAGCTAAATTTGTAGATGACAAGATAGATAGGAAAGAATGGAGTGAAGGGTACATAAGGAAGATGAAGATGGATAGGTAGGTTGGCTGAGTGAACAATGAGGTTGACTGAGTGAACAATAATCTGGCAGATGGAGTATAATGTGGGAAAAATGTAAAGTTCTTCACTTTGGCAGGAAGAATGCAAAATCAGAGTATCACTTAAATGAAGAATGGCTGGAGATTTCCGATGTGCAAAGTTCTAAGCGTTCAATTGCAAGAGTCACAAAAAAGTGAATATACAGGTATAGCACATAATTAGGAAGACTAATGGGATGTTATTCTTTATTACAAATGGACTTAGTAAGGTCTGAACACTGTGCAACAAACAAGGACAGGAACTGTGGTCACTTTCTGAGCCTGCCTACATTATACTGTCACTGCCATCATGCTGAGACCAGTTACCTCAGGAGAGTTGGGGAAACAGAGCTGGTCTGTATAGCTCAGTACATCACCAGGGTCTGGCTTTGTCTATTTGGCCCAGACCATCCCAAACTTTCAATCTTCTCAAGGTGTGAATGTTGCGGAGTCTCGGTGAGTAGGCAGGATGGGGGTTCTTGCTCGCCTATTAATCCTCAGCCTCCCAAGCTGCTTGTGAGCACAGATCCCGAGGCTGTGACTTACAGAACAGCATCTTATGGATTCAATTCCCACTCCAGAGACCTGAACTCAAAATCCAGGAATGACACTGGCAGAGTGCTGCACACTTGGAAGGTGCTGTGGTTTGGATAAGCCCTTACACTGAGGCTCTGACTACCCTCTCAAATCGATGCAAAAGATCCTAATTTCACCAGAAAATATGAAGGCGCTTTCCATAGTTTCATCCTGAGATCATAAGGTATAGGGGCTAGAGAACACCATTTGTGCCTGATCATGTTTAATTTGATTTTGGCCTTAACCCCATCTCCTTCCCTGCCTCACTCCCCACATTTCTTGATATACAAGGGATCAATTGTCTTCATCCTAACCCTTTTAGTGGCACAGTGTCTCAGTGTCAGTCAGTCAGTCTGTGTGAAGTTTGCGTGTTTTCCCCGTGTCTGCATGGGTTTCCTCCAGATGCTCTGGTTTCCTCCCACAGTCCAAAGATGTGCAGGTTAGTTGGATTGGCCATGCTAAATTGCCCCATAGTGCACAGGGATATGTAGGCTAGGTGGGTTAGGCACGGTTAATGTGGAGTTACGGGAATAGAGGGGGCTTGGGTCTGTTTGGGATGCTCTTCAGAGGGTCAGTGGAAACTCGATGGCTGAATGGTCTCTACCTGCACTGTAGGGATTGTATGATTAGAAACCTGGGTAACTGATATTCAATGCCCCAGTGCGCATTGCTGACTTGGGCTAGAAAATCCCAAAGGCCATGTGAGAGAATAAATTTCACAATTGTGTCCAAAAATGATCTTGTCATTATCAAACTGCTCTTTGTGAGCGGTTGCTGTGTACACACTTGTGTCAGATGGAGCTTTCTTTACTAAAGGTGATAGGAAAAAGGGAAAGCGGTAATCTTAGCTCAGTGCCACTCACCGCAGAGCTCCCAGGGCCAGAGACAGAGTCCACAATGTGTTACTGAGCGTCCACCACTTCTCTGCGTTGATGCTCAGGATTTTGTAGTCAGCAGCCCAGGCTAAGTGTTCGCAGGGGTAATAGAGCTGATCCACCAGATTTCCCGTTATAAAGAGCAACCGCACAATCATGTCTTCCTCCTTTGGAGGCAAATTAGAAAACCTAAAATCAACATCACACCTTTTACAGCTTACACAATGTATTTTACACCTTAATAATGTGCCTTCATAATTCAGCCAATGGGTGGTTTTGGTGGAGGTGTTACTGCTGTAGTTCTGATGGAGTTGCTGTCCTTTGGATGAGAGATAGTGTCAGCTGTCACACTTCAGCGAGAGTCAGAAGGACTCAAATCCCAGGGCATCTGAGGACAGACATCACCAGCGCCATACTTAGGGAATACTGCAGTTTTTGGGAACGTCCTCACTGATGGATAAGAATGATCCCATGGGACTATTTTGAAGGGTAGCAGATGAGTCCTCCATGATGCCTTGGCCAATATTTATCCATCAATGAACATGACAAAAAGATTATCTGATGGCCATCTGTGAGATCTCACTGTGTGAACTTTGCCATCACAGTTCCTATAATGGTAACTACACTTCAACAATGTTTCTTTAGATGTAAAGCTCTTTGGGACAACTCAAGATTGTGAAATACCATACAGCAGTCCCCAGATTGTGGACTGGACCTGTTCTGGAGTTGGTTCACAAGTTGATTTGTACACAAATCGGAAATCAACACAGGACAACATAAAGGAGCCATCTGTAAGTACAGAAAATGTTCATCTGTCAGATCATTAAAATTACAACCCTGTATGGGATTGCGGTCATAAGTATGAGTGCTCCTAAGCTGGATGTTTGTAAATCTGGAACCCCTGTGAATAAGTGTCTTGTATACCTGTATCTCTTAACTGGATGTAAATGATCCCAAGGCACCATGTCGAAGGAGTGTAGGGGAGCTCTCCCTAGATTCTGAGCAAATATTCAATCGCTCAATCAACATCACTAACAATGGAGCAGGCTGGAGGCCTGGAGCAGCTGAGGGCCGGGGTGGAGCTGTGGGGACTGTCGTTGCACTGAGGTCTGGCGCGGGCATTCAGCGGCTCGTGAGGCCGGTCAGACTACATGTGGAAGCCCCTGCACCGATCCATTGCAATGTAATATTTATCTGTAATCTGTTTATCTGACAGTAATGTTTATCCTTTTAACTATGTCTTATTTCTAACTTATTCTATGAATCACTGTAAGGTAATGTAAATAATTTTCTTCTTTATTCCTCTTTTTGTATCTAAGATTTAGGTACTTTGTACCTGAGATGGTGCCATAAGAGGCGACATTGTAAACTTTTCACTGTCCTCCTGTCCTTCTGCACTTGAGTACACTTGACAATAAAACTTAATTCTACTTATCTGGTCATTGTCATGACAATGACTGTGGGAGCTTGCTGTGTACAAAATGGTTGCTGCATTTCCTACAACAATGTTGGCATTGTAAAAGTCCTACACAGGCAGCAACATAGGATGTTCTGAGGTGGGAAAAACACTATATAAATAAGAATATAAACATATTCTTCCCATGGATGGAAATTAGGTCACTGTAAGATCCCACAAATGGAGATGACCAGATAAATTCAAAAACTCACACCATTGGCAATGCAACACTCCTTTGGTAAAGCAATAACATGTCAGACTGGGATTTAGTTCTTTGTTTCATGTTGCCCTCCGATCATTCAAAGGCAGAGATAGTTAGCAACTGAAACAAGCAATCATTTAAAAGGAAACTTCATTAGCTTTTGTGTGGGTGAGAACAGAAGGGAAAAACAGCCTCAACAGTGGAAGGATCTCCATTCTGATATATTCATGTTCAGATTGGCAGGTTATCAGCAAGTTGCTTTCAGCTTGCGAAAGGCAAGACACAAGTCACATGGATGAGCATTTAGAGAGTACTTTTCACAGCCTGAGCACATACCAAAATGCTTTACAGCTAAGTGGTTACTTTTCAAGTGCATTCACTGTTGAAATCTAGGAAGCTTAGGGGCGAGTTTTTGCAGGCAATATCCCACAATGAGCACTGAGATAAATGAACAGATAATTTGCTTTTGTAACTCTGGCTGAAGATTATTGTCCAACATCCCAGGGAGAATTCCTGCATTTCTCTCTTCAACATAGTATCGGGGGAAGAGTGTAGTCAGTATGCTTCATTTGAATCAAAAATAGAGGTTTTTGGACTCCTTTCATTTCTAGCATCTTTTTCACCAAAATAATATCTCAAATATTTAAGCGGGAGATAGACAGAGACATGAAGAGAACAAGGACTAAGAGATGCTGATAGTGTACAATGAAGCGGAATGGCACGAAGCTCATGTGGATAGACCAGTTGAGTCAAATAGCCTCTTTCTGTGCTGTGAATTCTATACGAGCCCATCTCTCAGTCAGGGTTTTGGATTTGACTTGTCTTTTAAAGAAGTCATATTCAACTCAAAAAAAAGCTAACTCAGTTTGTCACTCTACAAGGGCTGCCATCTGTGAGATCTCACTGTGTGAAATTTGCCACCTCTGTTTTTGTTTTAGATTATCTCAGTTCTCGATTAAGCAGTGGATTTGCCATCTTCCTGAGGGGACCACGTTAGCCTTCAAAAGGACAATGCCGAAAATGGAAGGTTTGAGTTATAAGGAGAGGTTGGATAGACTGGGACTTTTTCCACTGGAGCATAGGAGGTTGAGGGGTGACCCTATAGAGATTTATAAAATCATGAGAAGTATAGATAATGTGAATAGTGGGTGTCTTTTCCCTTGGGTGGGGTATTTCAAGACTAGGGGTCATATTTTTTAAGGTGAGAGGAGAAAGATTTAAAAAAAAGACAAGGGCTTTTTTTTTACACAGACAGTGATTAATGTGGGGAATGAATTTCCAACGGAAGTGGTAGATGCAGGAACAGTTATAATGTTTAAAAGACAAGTACATGAATAAGAAATGTTTGGAGGGAATATGGGCCAAGCGCAGGCAAATACCACTAGTTTGGAATTATGGTCAGCATGGACTGGTTGGAATGGAGGGACTGTTTCTGTGCTGCATGACTACAGCTTCATATCAGAGGCTGTTTATGGTCCACTTTCCAACACCCTTTGCCCGAGTGTCTATTGCTTATTGGTTCCTCCACAATACTGGCAAAGGCCACACCCATAAACAATAGCCCCACCCCCATAGATATTGGTCACACCCATGGAATACTGGGGCTCCACCTCCTTCTACAAACCCCACCTACAGATCAACTCCCATTGGTCTAGAGGTCATGCCTATCTTCTCTTGGCTGTGCCCATTGGTTCCCATGTCTCACCCCAAACCCTCTTCCACATTGGCCCCGCCCATTGGCTCACACCTCCAGCTCCACCCAATCTTGTCATATGGCCCCACCTCCCACCACCAAGGCCACACCCACCCCAATTAGCCACGCCCATGTGCCCACAGGCTCCGCCCCCGTCTCAGTACCGCCCCTTCGCTGTAGCCACGCCCTGGACCCCCAGGTCCTGCCCTTGGCCACACCCATGGGTCGTGCCCAAATCTCAGAGGCCCTCGTATCCTTGGATACGCCTCCAACAGCTTGAGCACGCCCCTGGACACAAGACCCCGCCCACATCACACTGGTCACGCCCACCACGTCTCGTGCCACGCCCATGGACCAACGTCCACCATTAGCCCCGCCCCCCGGTCCTTATTCTTATCCGTTGGCCCTCACCGTGCCACCCAGCCCGTACCCCCGCGAGTACAAGAACATGGACAGGTCATCGAAGAGCCGCAGCGTCGCCCGGCAGTTGCTGAGCTCTTGGGCGATCAGGAGCAGCCGGCGGCCCAGCTCAGGGCAGCCTCCCTCCTGAGCCAGCAGCAGGCCGCCCAGCAGCCGCGAGCTGTAGCACACGGTCCGTACTAGTCGGTCACGGCCCCGATAAGACTCGAGAGCATTGGCCACCGCATCCATTCCTTACAAGAAAAGGACTTTAAACCTGCGCCGGTGTCGGCAACACCGGAAGGGAGCCCTGATTGACATCTATGACAGCCAATGGCAAGGCGCGATGTGGGCGGGCCGACGTTCTTCTGGCTGAAGCAACCAATCGGATGTCCTACTGGAGTGTCAATCATTTCACTGGGCGGGGGAGTCGCGCTTTAACGGTGTGCGCGTGTGCGGGCTGTCCCCTCGTTCCGTGGCGGGTTGCCTAGCAACATCATTAAAGGAACTTTGTGACCGCCCAAAACAAAACCTCTTAAAGGGGAAGTGAAGTCCAAGGATACGTCCTTCACAATATTGGCACAACAGATTATGGAAAGCAGGGAGGACTTTCAGTTTAGAACAGTAAGGAGAACTTTAATCTGTGTCTAATAGTGTGCTGTCCCTGTCCTCAGAGGGTTTGATGGGGACACTGCAGAGAAAGCTATTATTCTGTATCTAACCCTATGCTGTCCCTGTCCTGAGAATGTTTGATAGGGACCATGTAGAGCGAGCTTTACTCTCACTTTAAAAGAGTAGAAGTAGCTTTTTCTCTGTATCTAACCCTGCACCGTGCTGGGTCTATTTGATGGGCACAGCACAGAGGCTGCTTTACTTTCTTGTTTGACTGAGTAGAGGTAGCTGTACTCCCAGTTTAAAAAGAGAGAGCTTTACTCCATCTCTAACCCTGTGCTCTCCCTGTCCACCGTCTTCGATGGGGACAGGGTGGAGATAGCTTTACTTTCAGTTTAAAAGAGTAGAGGCAGGTTGTCCACGTCCTGGAAGTGTTGGGTGGGAGGCTCGAGGGAGCTTTACTCTGTATCCAACCCTAGCAGGGGGCATTTGATGGTGACAATGTAAAGGACCTTTACTTTCAGTTTAATAAACAAGTAGAGAGAGCTTTACTCTGTCTCTTACCCGCTGTTGTATGCGTCCTGGGATTGTTTGATGCGGACACCGTACAGGAGGCTTTACTTTCAGCTTAAAAGTGCAGAAAAGAGCACAGGGACGGCCAAGTGGTAATAACACTAAAGGATTAATTCAGACACAAGAACAAAGTTCTGTCGAAACTCAGCAGGTCTGGCAGCATCTATGCAGAGAGAAACAGAGGTAACGTTGAGTCCAGGGACTTGCTGAGCTTCCTCAGCAATTTCTATTTTTTCTTCAGATTTTTAACATCCACAGTTCTTTGTTTTAGGTTAGTCCGGAGATTCAGGTAATGTTTTGGGGATCTGGGTTCAAATCCTGCTATGGCAGATGGTGGAATTTGAATTTAATAAAAAAAATCTAGAATTAATGTCTGATGATGACAATGAAACTGTTGTCCATTGTCAGACAACTCCCTCTGGTTCACTAATGTCCATCTGGGAAGGAAACATGCTGTTCTTATCCACTGTGGCTTACGTATGACTCCAGACCCACAGTATTCTGAGAAATTAGGAATGGGAAATAAATGCTGGTCTAGCCAGTGATGCTGACATCCCATTTATGAAGTAAGAAAACAACCTTTTAAAAATATTGAATCAGAGACAGTAGGAACTGCAGATGCTGGAGAATTCGAGACAACAAGGTGCAGGGCTGGGTGAACACAGCAGGCCAAGCAGCATCATAGGAGCAGAGAGGCTGACGTTTCGGGCCTAGACCCTTCATTAAAAATATTTCCTGTTTGCCCAAGCCAAACATAGACACACATTGGAATTCCTAGAGGCATGGTTCTCAACCCGTAATGCAACCAACAAACATAGAATTAGACCCTATATATAAGCCCATACAGATCAAAACCGGAAATGACAGTATTCACCATAACGGACAGGACAGTTTAAATTCCAAGCGGAGTAGAATAACATTGCTTCGTCGGAGGCTCCACTGATGATGTCACCTAGCACGGTTACAAAACGTTTGAATGAAACCAAGCCAGCTTGGCGAGCAAGTCAACAACATCACCCACAACGTGAGCTACAGATCTTTGCTAAAATCCTATAAACCTTTTTACTGTATGGACAGTATTAGTAAGATAGAAAATTTATAGTATGGATGGAATCCATTCAGCCAGTTGTCTCTGTAATGGCCTAGGGGAAAATAGCCGGCTCAATCCTAATTGCAGCAGTTGGTCGATAGCACTGCAAGATATAGGAACAGAACTAGGCCAATCAGGCTAAGTGCCTTTTGAATGGAATGTGGGCTCTGCCTTTTCCTGTTTTCCAGGAGTAGATTCCAGGACTTCACCACCCTCTCTATCAAAAATCTATCTACTCAATCTATGCCCTTCACAATTTAATTCACTGTAATTACAGTTTCTGTCAGTCCATGTTTCAAAGGAAATAACTGCCTTTTTTTCCCCCAATATTTCCTCTTGACTCAAATTGTCTATTCTTCAGAACATTTCCCCTACCCTGTTGTATTGCCATCTCATCTTCCTGTAACCCATCAACCAAAACTCTATTCAAACCTCTAGCCTAACATTCTGCTTAGCTGTCAGTTGCTGTTTCACCTTTAAGCCAGAAGGTTGTAGGTTTGAGTCCCTCTCTTTAGTGACTCGAGCCCGAAGATCTAGCCAGCACTCCCACTGAGGGAGGTGCTGCTGCCTTTTCATAATAGATTAAATTGAGGCCCTGTCACACTATTTGAGAAGTGAAAATACCACGAGACTGTTTCACGAAGAGATCCCCAGTGGATTAGCTGAAATATACCCCTCAACTAACACCACAGAAAAACAATTCATACATGCATGAGCAACAGCTTAAATTTTTCTTCCATGGGATGCGGTTGTTGTTGGCAAGCACAGCATTTGTTGCCCATCTGTATTTGTCCTAGAACTTAGTGGGTTGCTCGGTCATTTCAGAGGATAGTTAAGTAAGAAGCAAAAACAGAAGTTGCTGGAAAAACTCAGCAGATCTGGCAGCATCTATGAAGAGAAATCAGAGTTAATATTTCAGGTCCAGTGATCCTTTCTCAGAACAGGTCGTTAAGAAAGCTGTGGGACTGGAATCATGTGTGGTCCAGACTGGGTATTCCTTACCTAAAGATTAATAGTGAACTAGATAGGTTTTCACAGCAATTCACATTCACCGTTACTGTGGCTAGTTTACGATTTCAGAATTTATTATTTGAATTTAAATTCCATTAGTTGCCATGCTGGGATTTGAACTCAGACTCCAAAACATTACAGATGCTGGAGAATCTGAGATAACAAGGTGTAGAGCTGGATGAACACAGCGGCCAAGCAGCATCAGAGGAGCAGGAAAGCTGACATTGAGCCTAGACCGTTCTTCTGAAGGGCCCTTAGGTCCCTTCTATACCTTTTCCCCTCACCTTAAACCTATGCCTCTAGTTTTGGATTCCCCTACCCTGGGGAAAAGATGTTCGCTATTCACCCTATCTATACTTCTCTCAATTTCATAAACTTCTATAAGGTCACCCCTCAGCCTCTGACTCTCTGGGGATTAGGCCCCAGCCTAATCGGCCTCTCCCTATAGTTCAAACTCTCCAGCCCTGGTGACATCCTTCTAATTTTTTTCCAACATTAAAGGAATAGCTATAAGAGATAGTAGGAACTGCCGACACTGGAGAATCTGAGATAACAAGGTGTAGAGCTGGATGAACACAGCAGGCCAGGCAGCATCAGAGGAGCAGGAAGGCTGACGTTTTGGGTCTGGACCCCTCTTCAGAAATTTTCTTATGCCATTTTTGCAGCTCCTTATTTAAAGTAAGACAGGAAATCTGAACAGCCAATCAACTTTTTTGTATATTTTTCCCAACTGGGGCAATGATTTTCCAACATGAGGTTCTCTGCAGGTCAAGTTGAACATAAGGAGGCAGTGTCTGTAGTTTTCAAACTGTTTGGACCAGCTGCAAACATCAGCTAACACCCGCACACACCTGACCCCTTCCCACACAGGTCTTCTCTGTAAATTCATTGAACTGTAATCTCTCCTCCAACCCCCAACCTACATATTTGCAGTTTCACATAGAAAGGGCACAACTCAACAAATTTTAATTAAACACACTTTGCATAAAAATGTTTTCTCAACAATAACTTTTCTGCCTTCAGCGAGAAATAATATTTTGTGTTTCAGAGTATGTGACCGTCACCCATTTCAGTCTGCTCCCTTCTCCCTCCCCCCCACCGACTGGAAATTGTTCAGGAGTGTGCAGAATGTTCACCAAGCAACAATCAAACTGGGACTCAACATGAAAGTTACACACTTCAAGTTTAATTCCAAAAAGGGTACAGTAATAGGTGCATCGAAGAACATTCTGTTCATAACATCACCACCACCCCCCATTCTCCATTTCCCTCCCTCCTCCAGCAGTGGGTGTTCTCCAATGGCTCACTCACATGCAATGCATTCTGGAAAGGATGAGATAATTTAATGGTGGTCAAAAAGAAAAGATGACCCCCTGAAAGTTTTGGAGGGAGGAGTGCAGATGGCACACCAAAACATGTTTCTAGCCAGGCCACACGGTGATGAAATATTTGCAATTGTATCTGTGTTGGATGGGCTGAGAGAGATTGGCTGCAGGGTCCCAAATTCAGTGCTGATTGAAGATATGACCCTGTTCACAGGGGCTCAGTGTTACATTTATTTGGATGCATTCAATTTCAATTCCAAGTATGCCTAATTTGGTCTTTAATTAATCCATCCACCTGGGGGCAGGGTTACACCATATAGTATGAGATATAGTGATAGGCCGTTCTACCACAGCATAGGGGATTCTGCCGAGGATGGATTAGAGTGGTTAAGGGAGGGTTTACTCTGTGTCTAACTAATAAAACTAATCATCTGATGCTCAGGGTCAAAACTAATCTTGTTCTGTTTCTCAGCACTGACACCCTTTCCTTCAGGAGCACAGGACTTCTATGAAAAGAAAATCTGCCCAATTTCTTTTCCTTTGATGTTGCAGATTTGTGAAACAATTGTCATCCATGGACAATCTTTCTTTGGTGCCAAAGTTGTCAGCCTTCACATAATGGCAGTCCAGATCCTGTCATTGTCTACAGACACACACACGCGGTCTCAATCTCCCCCTCCCTCTCTCCCTCACCCACACCCACACACACACACACTCTCAATCTCCCCCTCTCTCACTGACACTCTCTCACACTCACTCTCCCCCTTTCTCTCTCTCACGCACGCACGCGCGCACACACACACACACACACACACACACACACTCAACCTCCCCCTCTCTCTCTCTGACACACACTCACTTCTGTCTCACATACACACACTCACTCTCTTCCCCCCTTTCTCACTCACTCATACACACACACTCAACCTCCCCGTCTCTCACTGACACTCACGCACACACTCATTCTCTCCCCCCTTTCTCTCTCACACTCTCTGTCTGTCTCTCTCTCCCTCTCTCACTCACACACACACTCACAGACACACACACACATTCAGTGTTGATCAGTCACTAAACAGCGATCAAGTGATGGAACTTTGGTTGATCACTCCTGTCCCCAGCCCAGAGATCCACCCCTCCCACCTACTACAATGCCCCTGCTACTGTTACTCCTGGCTTGTATCAAGCTCAGTATTGTCTGAGGCAGTGGGATCTGGGATTTGGGATCTTTTTGGTTCATGTGGCTCAGCTATTTGCTGTTTAACTAGCTGAGGCCACATGGGACTGGAACAGAAAGAGGAAAGGGTCAAACAGATGTGGTTTCAGGAGTCAATGACTACTCTGGTAGGGGCAATGAGTGAACCTTTTATGGCAGAATCAAAAATGTCCTGTCCCACAAAGTTGAATTCCAATAAATAACAGGTCCAACAAAATTATAAAATAAATCCCTATACAAGCCCATTTAAAAACAAAACCATCCCCATGTCATTCATTACATTATTATCATAAAACTGCACAGTTTCAGCTCCATAGACACGCTGTACAATTGAACTAATATTCCGTTTTACGAGTAATGTTATTTTGAACATTTCTGCAGAGAGATCTTTGGTTCATTTACAATTTTTTTTGTCTATAAAAAGCAGGTTACAAATCGAGATTTACAATCCAAAATTAACAGAGGAGAGAGAGAAGGAATGGAATTTCCCTGTTAATCATGCAGAATACAGTTATAAGAACAGTATTGCTTTAAGGAACTGGTTGAAAATTTAATTGAATTTAAAAGGATTTTGATTTCTGTTTGCCCTACTGTATCCCAATTAAAGGGATTTGGTTACCATCATGGTTAAAGCTGAGTGGGTTGAAATGGAGTTAGAACGAAGGATGTGTTAGTAACATGATTGTACGCATAATGCCATTTACAGAATGTTGTAAACAAATGGAATAAAAAGTCAGGCAACATAGTTTATAAAAACAGTGCTCGGTTGAAAAGGTGCTCAACTGATCGTTCAGTTGGTAACATAGCACTGCCCAGTGAGAGTCCATAAGCAGGTCGCAGGTTCAATCTCAGATCCACGTCAAGTTGGCTCAACTCAGCCAACTGTATTATGTATTTCCTACAATTTGGGAAAAACCAACCACGGTTTCCCGCTCCTGATTCCTAACCAGTGATTCCCCGTTTGAAAGCCCATGTGCCTGGACACTTGAAGTAAATGAACAAGGGCCAGATCAGCATCAACCACGAAGACCTGTGGTTGGAATAACACTGTTTTGAGTCTTTCACACTGCGAATGGGCACTTCAGTGAAAGTACTGAAGGATACTAAGTGCCTCTGGAACTGTACTCCAGTGCAAGTCCTAGGAATGGCTGTGTTGTACAGCCAGAAATGCCAGAGACAACAGCCAAGCCCATGTTGGGCAGTCTTAGTGCGGTTGTGATCTTCATAAGTGACAAAGTTCAAACTGCAGGAGAACATCTGCTCCCTGCTACCTATGGGAAGATATTGGTTTGGAAGCCAAAATAGAACCTCTGAAAAAAAAAAAGTCATTAATTTAAAAACAAAATTGAAACAGCATACCTGAGAGTTTCTATGGACTCTGAAGGGGATAAAGAATTCTCTTCCTATCCTGGTAGAAGTCAAGTTGGTACTACCCCTGATACAGAATGAAGTTTTGAAGAGCAAATATGGGTGTCTCGCTTCAACGAGAAATCTGCCAAACAATTTGTAAACAGCCAAATGGTTCATTGTTTCTTTCATGCCCAAAAAATTAGTGAGAAGTTCAAAAGGGAAGGTGGGCAGAATCAATGCAAGACGTCATTTTGAATCTGAGGAGCAGCGTGTGCGAGTGGAACACATCATTCCTTTGTACTGACACCCACGTGAGTCTTCCCGTTGTCCAAGTAGGGTTCAAATTCTTTCTCTACCAGAGAGAAGCAAACCAGCGACAACACCCCACTTCCCTTGGATTTACAGAAGGAAGAGACAGATTAGAAGACCATCTCTTCAAGGTGAGGAGACTTCAGTCACAGGACTCCATTTTGTTTTCTTGTTTCAACGTGAGCAGTAGTCCCGAGCAGCAGCTACACACATATCTTTGGTTAGTTCCACTCCAGTAGGAGAGAGAAAGGCACATTTCCAATTCTTTACCATGGAGGCTTTCCAATATCAACCGTTATTTTGGTGAAAAGTTGATTTTTTTCTATCTTGATGAGTGAATACTTCAGAGATATATATCCATCCTGGTTCCTTGTATACTTCATCCGATTATAAATAACGTAGCTGTGAAGAGAAGAGAATTGGATTTATATGCTAACTTTCGTGTTATTCATTTCTGGACTGTTTAACCCCATTGACTATACATGTGAATCTACTAGGTGCCCTGAACCTCAAGTTTTATTTTACTTTAACAGGATCTTTTTCAGTCCATTCACTTATATGTGGCAGAAGGCCAATCTTTATTTGTCTGTTATTTATTTATGAGTAAAAAAAATTACAAGCATATACCTCCTCAGTCAGCCAGTTGTAATTTCAATAAAGGTCTTTATTTTTCAATCAACCACTTGGATATTGTGGCATCACATTTTGAGGTAGAACTTGAACCTGGATCTTCCGGCACAGAGATGGGGACATTGCCACTACACAAGATGACACTTAATTTGAGTGTCTTTTCATATGCTCAAGTAAAACCCCAACCGATTCCCTCCATCTGCATGTAATTAACCACAAGTTTATGTACAGTGAACAGCACCCTTAAAGGACGTTGCAAGTAAATTAATCAGTTGGAAAACACAAGTGATCTACTGGTGGTGGTTAATAGGTGGAAAAAATATCAAGGGTGATTTGATGATGGGCAAAAAAAGGTTAAGTGTGTAAGAGCACTTTTGGATATTAAAAAAAATACAGTTAACACCCTTTCCCCTTTAAAATCTCCCATTATCCTGAACCACAGTGTCTTTAATATTATTATGTGGAATTTAACACGCTGTCCTGCCCTGTTCGAATTTGGTGCCAGGACATCTAACTGTGGAAGGAAGAGGCGCATCAATGTTCTGCTTCTGCCATCACTAAGCCACTGGCAGGAAGGTTCAAGGACCACCTTCTTCCCCTGCCAATTCAGGCCCTAAAGTGGGCCTATCGAGCCTGCAGACAAGACCTACAGCGTACACGTTCAATTCTCTTGAAAAAACCAAAAGAACTGCGGATGCTGTAAATTAGGAACAAAAACAGAAGTTGCTGGAAAAGCTCAGCATGTGTGAAGGAAAAATCAGAGTTAACGTTCCGGGTCCGGTGACCCTTCCTCAGAAGTCGGTCCTGAAACGTTAACTCTGATGTTTCTTCACAGATGCTGCCAGACCTGTGGAGCTTCTCCAGCAACTTCCATTTTTGTTCAATTCTCTGGACTGTGTTTCTAAAGTTCTTTTTCATCTTTTCCTAACTTCCTTCAGCAAACCCCTTCAGATTACGGCCATACTTGAACCATGTAGCCAGTTAGACTGGTCCTTCAGCACCCCGTGACCTTAACTCACCACCCACTGCATGACCTTCTTGCCTGCCTGGTCTTCCCGCCCCATCCCTCAACCCCAACTCCTGGGGAAGCACCTTTCGATGTTTGGTTACATTAAATCATTAATTAAGGGCATCAGGTGTGGCTGAGACAGCATACGGCTTTACCTTGTCATGTTAATGATAATGGTTTAATAATTGCTCATCAGGGATTGTTTATTTAAAACAGTAAAACACAGATGTTACAAAGAACAGTAACTAATTTGTGTGGGTGCAGCCTGCACACTGACACCTAAACTAACAGTTATGCAGAGTCACAATCTTATATACACACAGCACGTGGAATTCTTAACACTGAATTCTCTCAAAATGCAAGGTAGAGAGGCAACAATCTCAAGCTTCGCCCAGTTTGCAGGGTATCAGTACCCAGGAGACAGGCTCTCCAAAGAAGTGGCATGTGAGCCTAGATTGTCAGAGGTTTGAAGAAGACAATAAGACACGGCTTCTATCCACCAGTATGTAATGAGCTCTCTGCCAGAACATCCACCAGGTATGGATATTTTTGGTTTCCGCCATGCTGCCTTCTCCATGATAATACTCAGACAAAGCCAAGATGCTGGAGCAAGAACTGGAGAGCTGCAGGCACCCATGATATGAGGTCTGAAAGGAAAAGCAGGTACTTTCTGGGGCATTGCCAGTGAATGGTGCAAAGGGGCAAATAATGAATCAGAAGGAAAGTAAAATGAGGTGGTGACAAAATATAACTGGAGGAACCAGAGTTCTGAGGAAGGGTCACCGGACCTGAAACGTTAACTCTGTTTTCTCCTTCACAGATGCTGCCAGATCTGCTGAGCTTTTCCAGCAACTTTGTTTTTGTTCCTGATTTACAGCAGCCGCGGCTCTTTCGGTTTTTATAACTTGAAGAAAGTGGTGACAAAGATAACATCATCTTTCCTTGGGGTCAATAGTTGTCATAAGAAATGAACTTTTTTGTAATTGGGAGTGGCTAAAGAGATATTGGGGAGAAACAACCGCTATCCTTGCTTATACCCACCTCCTGACCTTTTGTAGGTACGTAACAAAGAGGAGCAGGACTAAGCCATTTGGTCTCTTCAGCCTGCTCCACCATTCGATATGATCCTGGCAGATCTTCTACCTCAACACCATATTCCCACATTATCCCTCTATGTCCTGATACCCTTAACGTTGAGAAATCTATCATTGATCCACCTTGCATACACTATGACTGAGCTTCCACAGCCCTCTGGTGTGGAGAATTCCTCAGTCTCCAAGTACAAGAAATTCCTCCTCATCTCAGTCCTAAATGGCCTGCCTCTTATTCTGAACCCCTGGTTCTAGACACCCCCACAGCTAGATGCTACATCCTTCATTTTGAGGCCTGTAAGAATTGTGTGCTTAAGTGAGATTACTCGAGAATACAGGCACAGTCACTTCAAGCTCCTCTCCTCACACTGCCCGCATGCCCGCATGCCCGCACCCCCCCCACCCCGCCCCGCCCCCCCCCCACCCCCACCCGCCACCGAGGACAATTCTGCCATCCCAAGGATCAGTCTGGTGAACCTTCGTTGTACTCAGTGTATGATAACTATATCCTTCCTTGGGTGAGGCGGCAAAAACTGTACACAATGCACAGGGTGTGGTCTCAAAGTCCTGTACAATTGCAGCAAGACATTTCTGCTTCTGTACTCAATTCCTCTTGCAATAAAAACCAACATAGCTTTTGCCTTCCTAATTGCTTGCTGCACAGTACATTAGCTTTCAGTGACTCACAAACAAAGATGTTGGATAAGGGCCTACTTAGTTGTGAAGTCTAGCTTTCTCTGCAACAATAGCACATTTTGAGCAGCCTGCACTGACACAGTTATCTCTAAAAACACTGATAACTAAAACAACTTGTTGCAGACAGACGTCCAAAGATGCTTTATGTAAGCACGTTCAGCCAAAACAACACTGTAGATCAAAAAGAGGTGGTACTTGGAGGGCTGAACTAATGTCTGATCAAAGACGTGGGTTTTAAGGACAGTGTAACAAAGGAGGGAAAGAGCTGAAGAGGTTCAAGGAGGGACTAACAGAGTTCACAGAGGGAGGTTGTGGCCAATGGTGGAGTGAAAGAAGTAGAAGAGATGCACGTGAAACCAAGAGGTGGTTGTGACCATAATGGAATGAGGAAAAAGGACAAGAATTTTGAATATATAAACATACAAATTAGAAATGGGAGTAGAACATTCAACCTCTTGAGCCTCCTCACCATTCAGCAAAATTATGTCTGATCTAATTTGTTGACACTTCCATCACCACCTGGATAACCTTTCACTTCCTTCCTTATCAAGAATCTATCTACCTGTGCCTCAAAATATTCAAAGCCCCCGTCTCTATTGCCTTTCGAGAAAGATTTCCAAAGACTTGTATCAAACCCCTCAGGATCCTCTTGGGTAACTGCAATCAACAAAGGGTGAGGTTGTTGACTTGCTCGCCGAGCTGGCTTGTTTTTGCTCAGACATTTCGTCACCATGCTAGGTAACATCATCAGTGGAGCCTCTGATGAAGCGATGTTATTCTGCTCTGCTTGGAATTTATACTGTCCAGTCCGTTATGGTGGGTGGTGTCATTTCTGGTTTTGATCTGTATGGGTTTATATTTGGGGTCCAATTCTACATGTTTGTTGATTGCATTATGGGTGGAGAACCATGCCTCTAGGAATTCCTGTGTTTGTCTGTGTTTGGCTTGGGCTGCTATAGTTACTTTGTCCCAGTTAAACTGATGGCCTTCATTGTACGAGCGTACTGATATTAAGGAGAGTTTGTCGTGCTGTTTTGCTGCTAGCTGATGTTCGTGTAGTCTGATGGTTAGTTTCCTTCCTGTCTGTCCGCATAATGTTTGTGACAGTTGTTGCACGGTATTTTGTAAACCACGTTCGTTCTGCTTGTTGTGGGAACGGGGTCTTTAATCGTCGCGAGTGTTTGTCGTAGAGTGGCTGTGGGCTTGTGGGCCACCATGATTCCTAGTGGTCTTATGAGTCTTGTTGTAATGTTTGTGGCAGTCTGACTTCAGACAGACAGGAAGGAAACTAGTCATCAGAAGAATGAACATCAGCTAGCAGCAAAACAACACAACAAACTCTCCTTAATATCAGTACACTCAGACAATGAAGGCCATAATTTTAACTGGGACAAAGTAACCATAGCAGCCCAAGGCAAACACAGACACGCATGGGAATTCCTAGAGGCATGGTTCTCCACTCATAATGCATTCAACAAACTTATAGAATTGGACCCCATATACAAACCCATACAGATCAAAACTGGAAATGACAATACTCACCATAACGGACCGGACAGTATAATTTCCAATCGGAGTAGAAAACATCGCTTCATCAGAGGCCGTGCTGAAGATGTCATCTAGCATGGTGACGAAACGTCTGAACGAAAACAAGCCAGCTACATCACCCACAACCCGAGCTACAAATCTTTGCTAAAACTTAAATCAATGAAAGGTTTTTGAAAATCGTTCACAGGATAAGGCTGCCATTGGCTAGCCCAGCATTTATTGCTCTTCCCTAATAGCCAAGAGGGCAGTTACGAATCAGTCACATTTACTATGTGTCTGGAGTCACATATAGGCCAGACCTGGCAAGGTCGGCTGATTTCCTACCCCGAAGGAATTAGTGGTCAAGATGGGTATTTCCGACAATCGACAATGGGTTTGTGGTCATCGTTAGACACTTAATTCCAGATTTTGATTGAATTCAAATTCCACTATCTGCCATGGCGGGATTCGAATCCAGATCCACAGAACATTCGCTGGGTCTCAGATTAACAGTCTAGCTATAATACCACTAGCTGGTGAGTAAAGAATACAGTGGATGTTATACACTGCAGAAATTTAGACGATTGAAGCTTTAGAGGAGACGAGAGGCTCACCAGGAGATTATTGGAATGATTGAGTCTGAAGATGACAATGGCATGGACAAAGACTTCAGCAAATGCAACGGGGCAGGGGCAAAACAGGGTGACATTAAGGGGATGAAAATAGATGCCATTGTAAATTCTACACAAATATCAGAAATACCTGCACCCTTGTAATATTTGCCACTGTGTAATGATGAATACCTTCATTCTTCATATCAAATTAATGATGAAAACCAATTTCTGACCTCCAGGATCGCTGCCCTTTCACCTTGTGCGCAAAGTGACAATTGTTGACTCACTTTTTCTCATTGACCTCATTTCCTTTGTCTCTTTGATGTCGTATCATTTTGGTTCTTCCAACATTGCGGTCAGGTCGATCAACTGACATCCCACTCAGTGTCACCCTAAGAGATATAGAACAACAATTTCTCAATACTAGGATCTGAGAAGTAGTACTTAATCCTCATTTCAATAACAGCACCAACAAATTCTATTTCTGTAGCATCCTGTCATGTAGTTTGGATTCAAGACAAACAGGTTGAGGACTGGTGCTCAGTAATTGAGTACAGCCAAGACTGAGATCCATAGATTACCGAAGACTAAAAGCGTTGAGGAATTTGGGGGTAGTGTAAGAAGGTGTGCAGTTTACATATAACCTATGATCAGGCATCATCTAAATGAATGCAGAGCAGGCTCACTGGGTCATCCGATCTATTCCAGCTTGACTGATGTAAAATCTAACAAGTGGGAGCAACTGGAATGTTTCCCATTTAATAAGGTAGCAAATAGGGTGTTAAAGAAATAAAACAAAGAACTGTGGATGCTGGAGATCTGGAAAAAAAAATGGAAATTGGAGAAACTCAGCATCCGTATAGAGAAAACAGAGTTAAACTTTCGAGTCCAGTGACTCAGTTGAAAGAATTGCATCTTCTATATGCCACAGATGATGTTGTGATTTCACACTTTCTTACTCACTGGTTACTTTTACTGTTTTGGCCTGGAGCCTTGGAATAGAGTCAATAACAGGTCATTGGAATGCTTCAGGGACAGAAGAGGGGATGCATTTACACTAAATTAGAGAGGTTACTGTGTGTTTGAGGAGGGACTTCCACAGCTTACAAAGCATAAAGATATGGTAACACTGCAGGATAACTATTTAGATAATGACACCCAGAGAGCGACAGGAAGGGAGAGTGTACAAGCATTAAAGAAAGCAGTAAATAGGATCGGGGTGGGGGGAGCATGGTGAAGTGGCAAAAATAATGGCTCAAATGTGCATTGTATTCTAAAGAATATAAATTAAGTAATGGGTATGATCTTTCAGCTGTTACAGTGAAACAGTTTCAAGGAAATCAAACCTGGGAACTAAAAATGCAGGGGTACTTCAGAAACACAGGCTGAAAGAGAATAACGGTGGGGTAGCTTTGTTAGTACAAGTTAGAATAAGTACAATAACAAGAAATGATCCGCATTAGATGATGTAGATCCAATACTGGTGGTATAAAGAAATAACAAGGGAAGAATTTACTGGTCAGTGCAGTCTACAGGCCCCATAATAGTAGCTATTCTGTAGGATACAGAATAAATCAGGAGATAACAAGGACATGTAAAAAAGCAGTACATTAGTTGTGAGTGTTTTAATCTTCATGTAGATTACAGAAATCAAACTGGCAGAGGTAGCCATGAGGAGTTTATGTGGATCCAACCAGAAATCAATCTATTTTGAATCTAATAATGTGTAACTTGGCTGGTTGAATAAGTGATCTCAGATAAAAGATTCCCTAGGAAAAAGTGCCCATAATAAAGTAGAATTAAGCATTCAGTTTGAGAGTGCGAAACTTAGTTCGGGAACAACTGTGCTAAATTTAAATAAGGCTAAACAGACAGTGACAAGGGAAAAGTTGGCTGGTATGGACTAAGAATTGAGATTATCATTAAAGATGTTAAAGGAACAACGACAGGGTCTTTGTGCATGGATCACAAAAAGCCAGCATCCAAGTTCAGCAGGTGATAGGGCAGGCAAATGGACTGTTGGTCTTTATGGAATGGAAAATAAAAATAGAGAGGTCTTGCTAAAACTATACAAGGTAGTAGTTAGACCACACCTAGAATATTATGAACAATTCTGAACACCTTATCTAAGGAAAGATGTATTGGCAATGTAGGCAGTGCAGAGTATGTTCACTAGGCTAATACCAGTTTCGGAAGGATTTTTTTTTTCATGAGAAGTTGAGTAGGTTGAGCCTGTATTTATTATTGTTTAAAAGAATGACAGGACACCTTATTGAAACATACAAGATTCTTGAAGGGCTTAACAGGGTTGATGTAGAGAGGTTGCTTCCCCTGTGAGAGTGTCTAAAACCACAGGGCATAATCTCAGTATAAGGGGTCACCGATTTATGACAGAGACAAGGATGAATTTTTCCTCTTAGGGAATGTCCTCTGTCCTGCAGAGGGTTGTCGAGGCTGAGTCATTAAGTATATTCAAGGCGGAGAGACAGATTTTAAAATCAATAAAGGAATCAAGGGTAATGGAGAAATGTCTTAAAAGTGGAGTTCAGGACTATCAGATCAAACACAATCTTATTGAATGGTAGAGCAGACTTCGTGGGCTGAATGGCAGAGTAGACTTCGTGGGCTGAATGGCTTATGCAGTGATAACATCATGAGGATGTCCCTGAAAAGGAACAGAAACAGAAATTGCTGATGAAACTCAGCAGGTCTGGCATCATCTGAGGAGAGAAACCAAAGTGAATGCTTCAGGTCCGGGGATACTTCAACAGATCTGAAATCACCAGCAATTTCAGGTTATGTTTCAGATCTCCAGCGTCTCCAGTTCTTTGTTTTAGGCACATCAGCTGTGAGCTATAACACAACACACTAAACTTTGAGCTCCTAAAGTTAATACATGTTTCATCTATCCAAAGTCTACATTAATAAAAGCAGGTGAAAATGAGGTGGTTGTACTCAAATTTAAAGAGTAAGTCAACCTGGATGATCAGCTAACATGATTGTGCCAGTTTTAAAAAAACTGCTTTATTTTACCTTTTGTATGTGTCATCATCTTCAGTCCCCCAACCCCAGTAATTGTTGGAGAAACCATTTATTTTCAAGTACTGCTCTTTTGTGAATGCCACAACTCCTCCAAAATACCCTGTGTATGGCAACCTGGATTAAAACAGAGACACAGAGAATGAGGCAAAGATATTTCTTAGAGGTACAAAGCTCAAATCAGGACAGCAAGTTTTTGGCTACTGAAACAAATAGTCTTGATTAATAATTAGACTAAGAGTAGTGAATAATTTAAAAACAATTAATTATATGCCACCAAAACCCAAATAAGCCCCCTCAGAAAAATGCATCAATGACTTGAAAGAAAGATCTCCCATTTCCTTTATTCCACCATTATTAATGGCCGTGCCTTCAGCTACCACAAGCCTCAAAGCTCTGGAATTCCCATTCAAGAAGAACCTGGACAAATACATGAATAGGAAGGGAATAGAGAGATATGGATCCTGTAAGTGAAGACAGTTTTAGTATGGAAGGGCAAAATGTGTCAGCACAGGCTTGGAGGGCCGAAGGGCTTGTTCCTGTGTTATATTATTCATTGTTCTTTGTTCTATGGCTGCTTTTCTCCTCTAAGATGCTCCTTGAAATCCACCTTTTTGACAAAACTTTTGGTCACTGGTCACAATATCTTCTTAACTTGTCTCGGTGTCAAATTTTTTTAATGATATCAGTCACTGCTGTGAAATGCCATAGGGATGTTTTAGAGCAGTAATGGTGGGATGCAAACATGACTTTCATGGAACAGCCTGTAAAAGGTATCTGGAGAGTTTGTTCAAATAACTGAAAGGAAATTTCCATTTTGAGACACCCCAGAGCGCTCCTCTGACACTGTAGCATTCTCTCTGTGCTGCACTGGGATATCAAAAAGCTACATAGGGAAACAACCTCGTTTTTCCCCTGAGATTCAACCTGCTTTTAGTTTCCTCTCACCAATGCCAGTGTTTGGTTCAAACACAGAGAATGCTGGAGACCCTCAGCAGGTCTGGCAGCATCTGTACAGCGAGGAACAAAGCTAACGTTTTGAGTCCAGTATGACTCTTCTTCAGAGTTCTTCTGAAGAACAGGCATACCAGACTTGAGATGTTAACTCTGTTTCTCAGCCCACACATCCTGCCAGACCTGCTATCTTTCTACAGCATCTTCTGTATGTGTTTCAGAGTTTCAGCATCTGCAGTATTTTGCCAATTTTAGTCAGTTGAAATACCTCATTTTTCAATGTTCAGGCCTTCCTAGAGGCTTCCTTTAATTTGCAAAAGCAGTGTGTGTCTAGGAATCTGTGGAATTCTTTATCACAGAGAGCTGTCGAAGCTGGATCATTAAGTACATTTGAGACTGAGCGAAGTTTAGAAAATCATGAGGGGCATGGATAGGGTGAATAGCCATGCTAGGGGAATTCAAAACTAGAGGGCGTAGGTTTAAGGTGAGAGTGGAAAGATTTGAAAGGGACCTAAGGGGCAACTTTTTCATTCAGGATGGTGGAGGCTGGTACAATTACAACATTTAAAAGGCTTCGGGATGGGTATATGAATAGGAAGGATTTAGAGGGATATGAGCCAAATGCTGGCAAACGGGACTATATTAGTTTAGGATATCTGGTCTGCATGGACGAGTTGGACCGAAGGGTCTGTTTCTGTGCTGTACGTCTCTATGACTCTGTGACAGATCTGATATCAGCAAAGGCAATCGAGGGTTATAGGTTAAAGGCAGGAAAGTAGAGTTGAGAATTAGCAGATTAACTATGATCTCATTGAATGGTGGAAGAGACATGATGGGCTGAATGGTCTACCTGTGCTCCTATGTCTTCTGGTTTTATAGATACTGGCCCTTGTTTTTACCGTGAGGTTTGCAGCAGTCGTCCCAGTTTAGTTGGAACGATATTGCACCATCACCACTTGGGTCTTGTCAACATTTACTTTCTCTCTTTCCTGCCATCTTCCCCCCTCTTGTAAACACTACACCTCATCTATTTTAATTATGTAGAAACCAGTTCTCCTATTACACCTCCTTTAATTACACACCAGGAATATTAGAGGTGCTGTAGCAGCATACTGCAGTTAATACCCACTGAGAAACCTCACTAATTATTTGAGAGCTCAGGCAGTGTCACATCAGCGTTTTAAAGAAAAGTGTCTCCACTGTGTCTGCTTTCTTGTCTATCCACCCCCTCAATTTATCAGCTCCCCGATGAGGCAATTAGCTTGAACAATGCGGGCACACTATTCGACCACAGGATGCTTCAAGGCTGAGCCAGCCCCTGTGCACTTACATATCCGTACATGTCCCATCCTGAGACAGGGCTCCCTGCTCCCACAAAGCACAGACCTTCATTTCAACGTCTGCAGACTATGACAGCACAGACCAGGGCATCTAAGCCTCCTGCTAGGTAAGACTCAGCCAGTCACTGCCCTTGGCCAAGAGACCCATTGGGGCAAACAACAATTCAGTTGCATTGTTGGTGCGAGAATCCCAAAACCTGAGCAATAAGACAGGGAGGTGCTGGAAGGCTTGAGGCTGGTGTTGTCTCAGTGATTTCACTGAAAAATGCTGCCAAGAAAGAGGGAATGTGTGCAGTGGGAAAAAGAAATACGAAACGTGAGAGAATGAGGGACCATGAGAAAGAGAGAGAAAGGAAGGTGAAAGAGGAAAAGGAGAAGGAGAAAGCAAGAAAAGAGAGAGAAAGTAAAAGAGCAACAGAACATGTGAGGGAAAAGGAAATGGAGAGAAAGAGTTAAAGGAGAGAGCAGGAGAGTGATCAAGAGAGAATGAAAGAGAAAGAAAGAAAGAAAGCCAGAAACAGAAATGGAAAGAGAGAGAGAGGAGAAAAAGAGAGAGAGAAAGAAGGGAAAAGAGAGAAGGAGGAAGGGAAAGGCTGTAAAGGAAAAGAGAGAGACAAGAGAGAGGAGGAATGGGGAGACAGAGAGATGAAAAGAGAGGGGGAGGATGGGAGGAGAGAGAGGACAGTCAAGGAGATAAAGTGAAACAAAATCAAAGAGAAAGGGAAAATGAGGAAAGAGATTGGGTGGATCTTTAAATGAGCAGCGACAGCGCAGGTACATACTTATATCCGAATTTGTCCATGGCACATGCCAGGTGTCGTGGATTCTGAGAGCAGCGATACAGATTCCGGTCATTCTCGGGTACAATATCGACATCACTAAATATGAAACAATCGTAATCCTTCTCTTTTGATGCTTCCACAAATCCGATGTTGAGAAGCTTTGCTCGGTTGAAGGTGTTTTCACCAGCCTAGTGGAAAGGTACCAACAGATTAACCACAGGTCCTCAAGCTCTCAATAGCCTGCTATTCCCCGCCCGCAGAAATATGCATACAAACATTCCAGTGTGACCTAGTCTGTCCTTTCACCTAACATTAAAGAAGTAGAGCAGAACTCCTCTCCAGCATGCTGGCCAATGGATCCCTCAAACAGTGTCACTAAAACAGGTGACCACGTTGCTGTTTATGAGATCTTGCTGTGTAAAAATTGGCTGCTATATTTTCCGTATTAGTTGCCACACCTCAAGCATAATGCACATTATAGCCAGTGAGATAAGAGGAGAACTCCTCACTGGTTGGAGTCATATCTAACACGTCAGAAAATATTTGTGGTTGCTTCAGGCCAATCCACTCAGTCCTATCTTAATCATGGACCTGGCTTCAGGACTCCTAAGGGTAATGTTCAAAGTCCAATGTTCAGTTGCACGGTGGCTCAGCGATTAGCACTGCTGCCCCATAGCACCAGAGACCTGGGTTCAATTCCAGCCTCAGGCGACTGTGTGTGGAATCTGCACATTCTCCCTGTGTCTGCGTGGGCTTCCTCTGGGAGCTCTTGTTTCCTGCCACAGGCCAAAGATGTGCAGGCTTAGGTAGAATGGCCATGATAAATTACCCATAGCGTCCAGGGATGTGCAGGCTTAGGTGGGTTAGCCGTGAGAAATGCAGTGTTACAGGGATAGAGTAGAGGGTGGGATGGTCTTCTTCAGAAGGTTGGTGTGGACTCAATGGGCCAAATGGCCTGCTTCCATGCTTTGGAGATTCTATGATTCATTATCAATGACCTTTCTTCTATTGTAATGTGAAAGTTGGGAATGTTCATTGACAAATGTTCAGATACTGAATCAGCTTGTGTCCATAGGCAACAAGACCTGAACAATATTCAGGCTTGGGCTGTTAAGTGGCAAATCACAGTCATGCTGATCAAATGCCAGTTAATTAACATCTCCAAAAAGAGAAACTCTAACTAACTTCCCTTGCATTGAATGGCATTACCATCAACGTTGTGGAGGTTACTATCGAGCCTAAACAGAAGTGGGTGAACTACATAACAGTGTGGCTAGAATAGCAGGTCAGAGGCCAGGAATTCTCTGGGCAGTAACTCAGTGCAGGGCTCCCCTGAACCTGTCTACAGTCTGCAAGGCACAGGTCAGGAGTGTAATGGAAAAGAATATTGCAATGTATAACATTTACACATGATCCTCAAGACTCACCCGCATTACACCTACTCTTAGGTACAGAGGGATCTGGGTGTCTTGGTACACGAATCACAAATTAATTAGGACGCAGGTACAACAAGTGATTAGGAACCCAACAGGAATGTTGTCAGTTAATACAAACAAATTGAATGGAAAAGTCAGGAGTTTTTTTTTGTAATCATTATATAGGGCATTGTTGAGAATATGCACCATGAAGCCTTTTGTCATTTCATCTCTCCTGTCAACCACTTGACTAAACACCTTTCCTTTCTTTCCCCTCTCCCTTTTCACTATTTAATCCTATCACATTCTACTGTCTAGAAGGACAAGGGCAGCAGATGCATGGGAAAACCACCATCTGCAAGTTCTCCTCCAAGCCACTCACCATCCTGATTTCGAAACGTATCATTGTTCCTTCAGTGTTGCTGAGTCAGAATCCTGGAACTCTCTCCTAACAAAGCCTGTAAGCCTGTTCTGCCATTCAATAAGATCAAGGATGATCTTTGTTGGCCTCAGCTCCCCATTCCCATCTACCCCACAATAACCTTTGACTCCCTCGTCAATCGAGAATGTATCTAACTCAGCCTTAAAGATATTTCATGATCCTGTCTCTACCACTCTCTGGGGAATACAGTTCCAAAGACTCATCACCCATTGTGGGTCTACCTACAGCACATGGTCTGCAGCGGTTCAAGATGGCAGCTCACCACCACCTTCCTCTAGGGGCGATTCGGGATGGGCAATAAGCACTGAAATGTTTCTATCCTTCCTGAGTGCTGATGAATGGTCAGGGTCTGGAATATTAATCCTGTAAATACAAGATAGTTAATTATAAATACAATTGGGAATTCAGGATAAACCTTATACCCTTTGAGAATGTGGGACGTGCTCCACAGGGAGCGGTGGATGTCAATAGTGAAGGGCAAGTGAGATAAGCACTTGAGGCAGAAAGGCACGGGAATTGTGGTGAACCTCTGCAGTTGTACCATCCTATTGCTGAGGAAGCTGATAAAATCGCTTTCTCGAGAGTCTCGGGTCATACCAGCTTCACGTAACTGCACTTGGCTGATTGGTCAAAGTTAGTCACATGCCCAGTAGCAGCTTGCAATGATCCCAAGACACATTACACAGGGATAGTAAGAACTACCGATGCTGGAGTCAGAGATAACACAGCGTGGAGCTGGAGGAACACA